TAAACAGAATGTCTAAAGATGGCAAGTAGTTGTTGGCGGCAAGTTGAAAGATATTTCCATATTGAAAGAGATGCGCCCCAAACGTAATCTACCGTAACCTATGGCTTCGCGCATCATTGAAATGTAAAAAAGTGAGGATTATATGTAATAAATATGTGTAGTTAGAGAAGGATTTGTGTACTTTTTTATGTAAGGAAAACCAAATAAGGGTGGCGGTAAAAATCTGTAAAAGGTAGTCAAGTTAATTAAACAAATTTCTTTTGTAAATAAAGAACAAAGAGAGCCGCCCATGTACTTGACAGATGAAGTTTCTCAACACAATTTCCTTATTTGGTTATCCGTTTATGTTTTAGTACATGAAGGATTTCCCGATGAGAATGATGTTCTTGGGCAGAGGTGATGGTCTGCAAACTTCACCCAGAGTTCATTCGCAGTGCCCTTGGCTTGGGATCAGATGCTCCACCTGTTCATATCGCTCCTGTTTCGAATTTCTGATAAAAGATAAGACCAGTTGATTGATTCTACAGCTGACATTACCATAATCGGTTGAAAAACCCGCCCATGTAAAACATGAAGCTCCGCCCACTGGATGGTCATGTTGCTCCACCCCTTTGACCTGTCATTTGCCTTCATAGGAAAGCAGTTAAGAGGTTGTCTACTCCTTACAATGTCGCCAAAATCGAAACCAGCCAAGCACTCCCAACTTCGTAGAAACGAACGAGAGAGAAAACGAGTTCATCAAGTGAGTTTTGATTTTGTGTTATCGTTCATTTCATATGTGCACTTAAGGTAAATGACGGTTTCGATCTCTTACGTTGTCGAGTACCTAAGTCAGTTGCCAACAAAAAACTGAGCAAAGCCGATACTCTCCGGGAAGCAGTCAAATACATCAATTACCTTCAGAGCATTTTGAATTCGGATTACTCTTCATCTTCAGAAGGTAGCATCATATCATTAGTGTATTGTAATCAATCTCTGTATTGCAGAAAGGAACTCCTGTACTCCTAACTCATTCCCTGCTTGCCCAAAGATGGAACCCATTTCACCTAACTTTGGATATTCAGATGTTATGGATTCACTTTCTTATTCTCAGCCAACTTCATCTAACGAAGTTTCTCCGGCATTTTCATATCCACTAAACACCTCATCATCTTCTTCATCTTCCCCTGTCGGGAACTATTCACCCATGACGTCATCAATGGTAACTATACCAACAACCTCCTCTACCACCCCATCAGCATTAACGTTGGTTCCCCTTGCCTTCGCTCCACAATCCTACACTCCCAGACATTATTTATATCAAAATAATATTTTAAATTAT